GAGAGAGAGAGAGAGAGAGAGAGAGAGAGAGAGAGAGAGAGATAATATCATATTAACACAGTGACAAATATACAAGCGCGGCGCATGGCTAACACGTGAGCACTGATGTTCGTTTGCTGAACAAAAACAATAGAGAATTAATAAAACTAAAGAATGTTGGAATACAGTAATTTTCTCAAACAAAAGTGAATTTAATATTTTTGCCTCTGATGGGAGATGTATGAAGTAGCGAAAAAGAAAATACAGAATTCGATCCAAAAAATCTCATAGTCAAATAAAGTAATGGTTCCGTGCTTGTTTGGGGATGTATGAACATAACAGGAGTCAGCAATCGGCAATTTGCATATTATTAATGGTATAATGGACCATAAAATGTAAATTGCCGATAAGTATATCTTTCAACGTGACAATGATCCAAAGCATACAGCTTATAATATATAATACAGGCTGTGATTACCCAGCGAGAAATGACCCATCTAATTGACGTCGAAATCATCGATATTACATCATATCGAAATAATGCTTGAAATTTGAAGCTTATTTCGATGTTTGTGCTTCATGACATTTTTTAAAAGAAGAGATTATTTATGACATACATTCATCGCGCCAGACTGTAAACAAGCAAATTATGTATTTTCTGTTAAGACATCGATATTTCATCATTTTGATATCGATTCGAAGCTATTTTGATTTGCTTGTCAAATATATAATAACATTGCCATTATATAGAATGCAATATGAATAAAAAATTATATTCTATTGGCAGACATGGATAATGTAAATATTTTATGATTTGAGCATTATAATAATTGCGTTACAATATTAATTTTTTAAGGCTTTTATTGCCATTAAATAGTTACTTTATAACTGTAAAAGTCACAACAAAATTCCTGTTTGTAATTTGACAATTTTGAAAATTAAAATATATAATAGGTACATTTTCAGTACTGCATCCGCTAATTTATTAAACAAGAAGTTAAATTAAGCAACTAATTAAATTATTAATATTAAATATTAAAACAATAAGATATTTGTATTTACATTTATCAAAATAAAAAATAAGTTCAATTATAAAAATAAATATTAATAATTGGACTTATTAAAAATTAAATAATTAAATTAAATACAAAAATTAAATAATTGAAAATAAATATTAAAAACAGAAAGTAAAAAAGTTTTTATATATAGGCACCTATATACAGGCATTATAATAATTATAACTGTGTTCAGCAGAAAAGCTGCTTTGCAACTGCAGTTGCAAAATTCGTGAATTTGATTGGTGTATTACTCTTAGTTTTGGCCAAAATTAAAAGCATACACCAATCATATTCACAAATTTTACAACAATTGCAAAGCAGTTTTCTCTGCTGAACACAGCTTTTTATTACTTACGTTATATGTATGAGCCGCCATTTGCTGCGCGTGCGCAAACAACCTGGCAACCGAGCAACGACTTGAATATTTCGTTGAGCACTGACGGCGCCAAACAGCAGTGCTGCAATTAGATATAAGTCCGTGATCGGAACTTCGGAATGCTGTTACCTAATAGACTAAAATAAGGTAGAGAATAACGTAAGTTGCGAAAGGCTATATATTTTATAGTCTTTTACGTCTTACGTTTTTCTATGTACATATGCTTTACTTTATGTCCACGGTACGACAGACGTCTCGTTCTTTGTCATCAGCCGAACGCTGCCCTTGCGGCAACCCAATGCAAAAGATTAACCACGTAATATTTAATCGCAAATTGTACTGTAGTAAAGCCTCTTATTTAGCCAAATACATTGAGGAAACCTTTCCTCAAACTCCAAGAGATATTATTCTCCCATTTTTAAATAATCCCCCTCATTAATTCATCCGTCTTCTCGTCGCAACTTGCAAGTCTATGGATCTCCCCCCCCCCTTAAAAAGAGCTGAAGAGTTTAATCGGAGGATCATGTTAATCGGAGACGGTAAATCGGCCCATATCTACAGTGAGGAAATAATAATCAATATCGAGTCGAAACCGATTTATTCTGAGTCAAAAAGTCATCGAAAGTTATTGTGCCATAAATTAATCGAAATCAATGAATATTTCAATTACTTTTCGATATACGTTTTCGACGTCAATTAGACGTCGATTCGATGGATTATTTCTCGCTGGGTAGTATGTACACTGTTGGAAAATTTTTGTAGTTTTGTTAAAAAAAGTCCTTGTTAAAATTTTTGTGTAAAATAATAACACATACATGTGTAGATTTAACATATGCCTGCTATGTTAATTTAACTTAACAAATTTAAAATGTAAAAATATTAAAATAATTAAAAAAATATATTAAAGTAACACAATTTAAATGTATTTATTAAATGTGTTAAAAATTACAGAAAAAGAGTGTTGATTTTGCTTTATAACAGAAGTTGGAATAAAAATTTACAGAAAAAAAGTGTCGATTTTATCTTACAATCTTAACTTTAACATAAAAGTTATGTTAATTGTACACATAATTGACCTCAAATTACGATTAAAATTACCTTTCCTTTCTGTTGAAATATTTTAACATAGTATCGATGTTACCATTTAACACATCCATATTACATTAAATTAACACAAAAATTTGAGTGGGTTGTTTGGGACATGTGATTTATGTTATATTTAACACAAATTTTACAACAGTGTACCAAATGGTTATCATATATACAAAATATTAAATTAATATATTATATAAATTAAAAAGAATTGTACAAATACTTTTTGTGTACTAAAATGATATAATTCTTTTTATTTTTATTTACCATTAGAATAATATATTTGTTTCATTATATTATTTGTTTAAATAATTTAAAAAAATGTACCATCTATTATATATATATTTTTTGTTAATAAACCGCTAATTAGTGTTCATTTTCTACAAATAAGGCTTTTTCATAACCTTGTACGAATACTTTTTGCACTCACTGTATATACCTACGTATCCAATAGACCGTTCAATTGAACAGTGTCCAATCTTTATGTATAGTCAAACGGGATACGCTCGATTTTTTTCTATAGTATAATGTTTACCTCATTTCTGTTTCTCTACTTATATCCCTTACAAAAAAGTATTACTAGCTGGTTAGTAATAAATACTTATTTTGTGTATTAATAATACTAAAATTAAGTACTTATTTATTAGTACTTGAATCACTGTGATCCAAGTATTGCATAGTATTTTATTACTGGTCAGTAATTTATGAAAGTAGTATTTAATACAGGACGAGTATTGAATACTGAGTATTGAATTTCTGATGAGAAAGCATTTAATACTAGGTGAAAAATACTTGTGTAATAAATACTTGTGTTGAATTACTGATGAGTATTTCAATGTTAGTACTGAAGTACTGAACCAAGGATTCCATGTGTAATAAATCACTGGCCAGTATTTTAATATTAATACTCAAGTACTGAACTGAATATTCCATGTGAAATTAATCACTGACCAGTACTACAATTTGTATAGAAACATTATAATGGGTAATTCCTGATAATATTAAGGAAAAGAGATAAAAGTAAGGCACAAATACATTTTATATGAAGGTCTGTACTAATTCGTCGTGATAAAAGTGTACAAGTTTTGAAATAGTACTGAGGATCGATATCATTTTAATATCCAATTCAAAATTTTATTACTCTTTTTAAACTGAATTTGTTTCTTAAGATGATTTTTAAAAAATTATATATTTGCGCTGGTTATGACACATGTAGACTATATATAACACTTACATCAAATTAAGAAGTAGTCTACCACGTAAGGCAGTTGGCTCACGATCGATCCAGAGGTCCCGAGTTCGATCCCACCAAGGTAAGTGTGTTTTTCAAATACGAGAAAATATTTATAATCATAGACTGCATCTTAAGAAACAAATTTAGTTAAAAAATAATAATAAAATTTCGAAATAAATAATTTTTTTTGTCGGGTGAATATTCGTTGCCCATAACGTACTTCCTAACTTCGAGGTACCATGTACCTCCAATTTTTGGCGACACATGCTTAAGAGTGACTTATGTCCCTCGTAATTACGTAGGGACAAAATTTCAACATGTACCTCCAATTTTTGGCGACACATGCTTAAGAGTGTATTTGTATAGAGACGGCTACGACATTTTTCACGTATTTTTTCACATTTTGCGTATTGGAAAAATTTAATGAAATCGCATTTCAATACATTGTTTTGAACAAATGAGAAAAGAAGCTAAGATTATTGCTGATATGAGCGATAACTAAGCATTTTCAATTTTTTACGCAAACTCACTTGATTTATAAGACAACTTTGCTAAGTCGCTTGCAGTTTAAAAATAGACTAAATAAATTAATGATTGCTTTACCTCCCATAATCCGTAGAAACAATGATTCGAAGTAATATCTTGCACTATAACGTCAAACTCGACAGATTTAGTCATTTCCAAAAGTTCTTTCGCTGCTTTAGTTTTTATCACTGTATCACATGTATTAATGATAAGCTGATACATAAAATGCATCATATATAGTGTACCGTACTCTTTCCATGCAGCTGGATTATAATCCTCGGCTTCTTCATAAGTGTGCATCAGACCATCGAAAACCTGAAAATAATAAGTACTTTTCGAGTTTTCGCGATATAAGAGATAAAGACATATGAAAATATGATAAATTAAGATTTCCGAAAGATTTCCATATTGATCGTAAGTACGTAAAATAGAAAACAATATTTTAAAATAGAAAAGTTATATTTTTTTCTGATTTGTTTTATAATTTGCAAATAATCGATTTATATCTTTCAGAATGTCTTTGCGCAAATCTCATATACTTAATATCTAATATACTTACGGCGTATGTCAAATTCTGCGCGAGTTTACCCTTGACCTTAGTCTCATGTATGCTCACTGCGTGTACATGATGACCTTTGCGAAGCAGCCCTTTAACCAAATGCTCCGTCCAGACGTGGTGGCTAGGCGACGGAATATGCTGTATCACTAAAATTGACAATGGTTTCGACGCTGTCCCGAGATTACTTATTAAAATACAACAAACAATGAAAATGACACAACTTAACATTGTAACGCAAAACTTCTGGCGTGGTCTCTCAATCAGAACTGAGACCAAATGTATTTGTATGCATAGTGTAGTATTCTCCCTCTCTTCATTTCGAGATAACAGCGTTTATTATAATATCATACTATTATGTAAAACCCGACTGTTTGTCTGTCTGTTCGTCCGTCTGTCCGCGAACTACTCATTCGTTAGTGGACCGAATTTTTACCAAAAGTATATGAAACAGGGGTAGAATTTCCCGGGAAGTGCCATGATGTGTGTAGATTTTCGTTGCCGATTTTCTGGAAACCGGTTTTTCTAATTCTTTCAAATTTTCGGGAAATAATTGACCGAATCTCAAAGAATTGTATATGAAACGGAATATATGATAGGGGTAGAAAGAACTAAAAAATGTAATAAAATTAAAAAAATTGCTAATAATAAAAGAGTTTCCAATTTTTGTTTTAAAAAATATACGTGATTTAAAAAAAAAAGTACATTAAAAGACGGTCAGGATGATCTACTGTTAAAAGCAGCACTAAATTATGAAATGGAGGAAACTGCAAAGGCCAAAAAAAATAAATGCTTTTTATATTAAAAAATCATATTATAATATAAAACCCGACTGTTTGTTTGTCTGTCTAATAAATAGAAATAAGTATAAATAAATATAAATTAAAGAAACATGCTAATAATAAAGGGGTTTTCGATTTTTGTTTAAAAAAATGAACTAACATGATTTAAAAAAAAATAATTTTTGGGGGAGGTTTTTAGCCGGTGCAAGTCCGGCATAACCTTAGGGACCAGCTCTAAGGTATGCATTAGGCATTTTCTTCCTACAACGAGAAACAAAAAAGGGTTCAATATCTTAAAATTGGCGGAAATTAGAAAACAACGTTGGAAACCGGTTTTAAAATTTTTCGAGAAATAATAAGTATTAATAAACAACATTTCTTTAATAATAATACTCATCTTTTAATAATTTTCTGAATAAATAAAGTAGTTTGAAAAAAAACGACGCCCGGGCGAAGCCCGGGTAATCAGCTAACTACTTTATATAACTTTAGGCTGCAGGTAATATTGAGAATTTCTCGACAACTCTTTATATATAAGCATAAAAATAAGAGAAGAAAAGATGCATAAATAAATTATTAACATCCCTTCACCTGGTTTTTTTCGGATCTTTATGCCGCATACGTGGGTCTGTCGCGTCCGACGTTATTTTCCCTACTTTAAAGTATTTTAAAAAATTTGAAAAAATTCACAAAACATCTGTCTACATTGTAGTTGACGAATTTATAGTCATTTTAATAAAAATCACTGATTTTTTATCTTATTTTTAATAAACTTTGAATAAGGATAAAAGAAAGAGATGGATTGAAGGATCAATGTGCCCCCACACGGATCATGCTCATCTTTTTTCCTTTGATTGCTATCAGTGTCACTTACAATTTAGTCAAATATAAGCCCTTAATATTGAACCATTTTGGTGTAAAAAATAAAAATAGAAATTTCGAAAATAATTCATATCTTTTGATCGGCTTAACCAATTTTGATGAAATTTTAATATGTTGTAGATATCATTGGACACATTTGTGAAAAATTCGGAAAAGGTTTCTGATGACAGAAACATTGATAAAATAAATAAATAAATGTTCTTGCTATTTTTTACTCTCAATATCTTTCTGACACAATTACGAAAAAATTTTTGTATATACTTGGAGTAATTTCCTATCAGACATAATTTTTTTTGAAGCAATAAAATGGGTAGGCGGTACTTTTAAAAAACAAAGTATTTTTTTTATTTTTTTTAAATATAATATGTTTTTAGTACAATCGCCATATATTTTATGTAGAATTTTGGCATAGTATTCTACAACAAGTAATTTTTTCGAACCAATAAAATAGGTAGGCAAAAGTTTAAAAAAATAAAATATTGTTTTTTATTTTTTTTATTATGATATGCTCTTTGTACCATTGCCATATTATTTTGTAAACTTTTGAGACGGTATTCTACAACAAGTAATTTTTTCGAACTAATAAAATGGGTAGAAGGTACTTTAAAAAACCAAATATCTTTTTTCAAAATTATCATAGTTTTTTGGTACCATCGCCATATTTTTGTTTAGAATCTTGGAATGGAATCCTACAACAAGTAATTTTCCAGAATCGATTAAATAAATAGGTGCAAGTACTAAAAAAATAATAAAATAAAAAAAATAAATTGAAATAATTATAAAAGGATAAACTATAATTGTATTAAATCAAATGTTTATTAATGAAGTACACATACACATACGTTTATATTTAAATATTTTTTTATATTTAAATATATTCAAATATATTTAAAACAGACTGCATATCACGCCTATTATCAATGAAAATAATGATGAAGATTAGTCTATCCATATGAATATAACTATAAGTAGTGTAAATAATAGTATGAGAGTGATTATGTGAACGAATGTGTATGGGTACTTCATTATTTTGAGTGTATGTGTACGTGTATGTGTATATGTGTGTACTTCATTAATAAACATTTGATATACGATTTAATATACTGTTGTAATCTAAAATTACAACGGGTAATTATTAAATTATTTATAATGAAATTATAGAATAGCCTTTCGAAAGACTTCGAGGAAAATGTCTTTCGAAAGACTCCTCAATTTACGCTGACGCGGACGCGGAAGTTCATCAAGCTTCCGCGTCAATCGAACTATTGCGATATGCATAAGAATGTGCGACAACGCATTTCGACACAATATTGCGAGATGCATAAGAATGTGCGACAACGCATTTTGACAATCACGGAACCGCGGGAGTACAGCGAGATTGCGAATGCGCTCGGTCACTGACCGATCTCATTCGGGGGACCGTCGAACCCGGCGGAAAAGCGCCGACAGGGCATAACTCAAAGCAATATAAGGGACCGTCGAAGAAGCCGCGACGGAGAGTAGTACACCGGAGACTCTGCCCGTGACCGTTCCCGTAAGTCGTGTCGCGAAGGTTTACATTATAACAAAGCGCGTGCGAGTTATAGTAATTGTGAAAGGCAAATACAAGTGTAAGTTAGTGAATGTAAAAGGGGCGCTGAAATAAAGCTCCAATAGAAAGTAATACGAAGTGAAGTTCATTTAACGACGCCTACACCCCCGTTCCACCTGCGAACCCGACCGCTTCCTAGTCTGCCCGCTTGTGCCTACCGAGTCCCAACTCGTAAGGTCAAGAGATCCCGAAAATAATAAACGTTTTGCCGTAAGCCGTCACCAACCGGCGACGCGGCATAACAATACGATTATAGTGCATATATGGCAATTGTACCAAAAGCATATCATATTTTTAAAAAATAAAAAAATGAACGCGTGGTCGCCACGCGCGCGCGTTAGAAGTGAAACTTCTGAAAGCAAGGCTTTGCCATAACTTTTCTGAAATTAATACCAAAAAAAAACAATGCAACGGAATTAGTCACTCTAAGCCGCCCGCAACTCGAAAATATAGTGTTATACGCAGTTCTCACTATATCCGTCTCGCCAGTGCCGTACGCCTGATCGAATTTTTGTGACGCGTTTTCGAGTCGCAAAATCGAATTTACTTACCGATCCAAAAGAAATTTCACTTTGTACGCTTGTTGGTCGAATTTTCGTGACACTATTTCGTGACGTTTTTTCGTGTTGCATAATCGAACTTACTACCGTACCAAAGAAATTTCATTTCGTACGCCTATTGCCCTTATAGAAAAGTAGTACTAAAAGTACACAGTAATAAATTACTGTAAATACTGGCAGTAATATTTTGGCGAGTAGTTTAGAAGTACTGGGCAGTACTGGATTACTAGTAGTAATTTATTACACAGAACTACTGGTGCTTAGTATTGAATTACTTACTCAAAAATTTCCAATTTCCAATATTCATCCGGCATAAAAAAAAATTATTTTTTTTGAAATTTTATTATTATTTTATAATTAAATTTGTTTCTTAAGATGCAGTCTATAATTATAAATATTTTCTCGTACTTGAAAAAACACTTACCTTGGTGGGATTCGAACTCGGGACCTCTGGATGGTGAGCCAACTGCCTTAAGTGGTAAACTACTTCTTAATTTAATTTAAGTGTTATATATAGTCTACATATGTCATAATCAGCACAAATATATAATTTTTTAAAAATTATCTTAAGAAACAAATTTAGTTTAAAAAGAGTAATAAAATTTTGAATTGGATATCTAATATAATATTTCTTAATGTCGGGCGAATGTCAGAAACCAGTGCCGGCTTATTATGAAATTTTGTGTTCGTAAATATATTTATGAAAAAAGTATATTTATAAAGTTAAAACATTCTTATCAAATCCTTACAAGGGCCTTGTCTATCCTTTAACCTTTGACCATAGTTGCAAAACATATAGTTGATGGATCAGCTTGATTAATTATATTTAATTACTTATTTTGTATATTAGGTCCCTTTACTCCAGATATAAAACATATGCATTTATTATTTTATAATTGTACTAAAATACTCTACAGGTAGGTTGTGAAATTTTTAAGGTTTAATTAGAACAATGAATTTTACATATATAAATTCAGTACTTCAGGTGTTTGCCGCTCCAGTAGTTGAATCTCATCTTTACCAGTACTTAAGTACTAGACCAAGTAATGAATTACTAGAAAAACTACTTACTCATTCTATCAATACTTCACGTCTAAACTCAACTACTAGATTCTCTAATACTTCAGTACTTTTTTACTATATGAGCAAATACTGAAGCAAATACTATCAGTACTTTGAATCCCGGAAGAACTACTAATACTACTACAGATATTACTCATTCGCCAGTAGTTGAACTACTGAAGTACAGAAATAAAATACTGATCGCCAGTAAAAAATTACTAGACTCAGTAATAAATTACTGACCAGCCAGTAATACTTTTCTGTAAGGGTGGCCGAATTTTTGTTACACTTTTCGTGTCGCATAATCGAACTTACTACCGTGCCAGAAGAAGAACCGTCTCGCCAACGCCGTACGCCTATTGGTCAAATTTTCGTTACACTTTTCGTGTCGCACAATCGAACTTACTACCGTACCAAAGAAGTTTCACTTCCG